ACTCCCCAAGACCAAAAGAACACTGGCTGTAAGCCATACTCATGCCATGTGGTACCATTACCACTAATCACCATAGCTGAGCTACAAAACAAGTCATTTTCTCCTCCAGGCTGTGGCTGGCTCTCACAAATATTTGACAGGATGTTTTAAGGAGGCTACACACTAGGCAATCTTAAAGGTCCCTTTCATCTCTGGCACTTTATGGCTCTAAGATAAATTAGCTTTTTTAAATTGAGCCATTCTCAGAACCTTATGTAAAGCATTGTTCCTATGCAGAAAAGTTCTATACATCTTAAGCGACCACTTTAAAAATCAACTTTGGGAACATAATCTATGTTTTTCATAAAATATTATCTGCCATTTTCCTCTATATCCTTATTACTGTAGGAAACAAATTATCAGGTCAAAAATATTATTTGGCGAAGAGCACATTAAAATTAAAGAAAAGAAAATATTGCCTTTTCTTTACTATTAATAGGATTCTTAGCATCATCTCGGCATCTTAAATTTTCTGATAGAACAAGTCAAAGGTGTTCCTTTCCCCTGTCCCTCCTGACTTTGCTTCTTCCTATTTATTGCCATTCACTAAGCCCTTCTGAAGTAACTTTTGAGTGCTTGAACCTGGCAGTTATGTAAATACGGGGTCCAGGGAGACTGAGTTGGGCACTGTGGCAGATAATTAGGGGTAAATGCCCCAATTATCCCTATGTCCTAGAATTTATGCCCTCATGTATAAAAGACATGACTTTGGGTGGGACCTGTGACTTGCTTCTAAATAGTAGAACATGGCAAAGGGAATGGGATGCCACTTCTATAAACACATTATATAAGTCTGTAACTTCCATTTTGCCAGCAGACTCTGTGGATGCTCTCCCTGGCTGGCTCTGAAGTGAGCCGCCACAGGGAGTGGTTTAGGCCCCAAGGGGAGGCCCACCCAGCATGCAGCCAGAGAGTCCTCCAGCTGACAGCCAGGAAATAGCTAAGGCTTTCAGTTCAACAACCCCCAAAGGCTGTGTTGCCCACAACCACAAAGGGGAACTTTCCTGGAAGGGGAACTTTGCCAGCAGAGCCCAGCCCTGACTCACACCTTAACTATACAGCCTGGGAGAGACTGAAGCAAGAGATCCTCTTCAGCCATGTCCGGACTCCTGACCACAGAAATGGTGAGACAGTAATGTGTCTGCATCCCATTTTAAGCCACTTTTATGTAATAGTGTTACCTCGCTACTGATAATTAATACAGGTGAAATCATAGAATATAACTAGAGAACAACATAGAGGCAGCAGAAGAACAAATGTGAGACAGGAAAGTTCAGGTAGTAAAGGTAAGATCACGACACATAAAGTTAACTTTGAAATACTTCATAAAGAGACGAGTTATGAAGCTCACTTTATGTCTTTCAAGAATTCATTGGCAGAGAGGTAGGGGAAACAACACAGAGGCAGAGTCAACTGAATATCAGCGCTACCACACTGGGAACAGTGAGAGAAGGGCTGAATCATGGGAGGCTGGAGTGGCAGGAGCTGAGTGGGCTCGTTTTTGACACTATAGGCCAGTGGTTGGCAAACTCATTAGTCAACAGAGCCGAATATCAACAGTACAATGATTGAAATTTCTTTTGAAAGCCAAATTTTTTAAAACTTAAACTTTTTCAAACGCCACTTCTTCAAAATAGACTCGTCCAGGACATGGTATTTTGTGGAAGAGCCACACTCAAGGGGCCAAAGAGCTGCATGTGGCTCGCGAGCTGCTGTTGGCCGACCATGGTTATAGGCAACTAAAAGAAAGGCTCCTCAACAGGGCAATGACAACCAGGTGTTTTAAAGAACTTACTCTTATCACAGTATAAAGGATGGGGAAGACTAGAGATAAGACCAGGAAGGAATATGCTAGCACAAGTCTTCATGAGAGGCCAACAAGCACATGAGGGGGGAAAGGTTCACACTCATGAATAATCGAAGACATACAAATCAAAACTATAAAGAAACACTCTTTGGTTGATCAAATTAGTTAAAAATAAAAACTAGTAAGACTAGCAAAAGTAAAGCAATCGTAATTCAATAAGCCCTCATTCCCACAGTTGGTGGGAATGTAAATGGAACAGCTTATATGGGAAGCCATTCAAAAATATGCATTACTAATCTTAAACTATTCAGACCCTCAGACTCAGTAATTCACTTCTTAGGACATACTCTAAAAAGAAAATAAATGTACTTACTCATTTAACAAACATTTAATTGAGTGCCTACTATGTCCTAGGTACTGAGGATATAGCAATGAACAAAACAAACCTCATCTCTGTTCTTTCTCTTAGAAGAGACAAACATTTAGCAAATAATCACAAAATAAATGTATACTTACACATATTACCGGACACAATGAGATTATTTTTAAATACTTGATTTAAATTTGTGAGATTAAAAAAAAAGATTTTAAAAAAAATTATTTATACTGAGAACTGAAGGATGAAGAATGGGAGAATTTTTTTTTCTGATAGTGAAAACAATATTCATGAAGGCAAGAAAGAGTTGCATTCAAGATTTTGGAGGACTCATTCATTAACTTATTCAAAAAATATGTATGGAAGTCCTAGTAAGGACTAGGTATTAGAGATAGGTACTGGAGATGAGGATCAAGTTGAGGTTATAGCAAACAAAACAGGTGTAAAATTATGCATTGTATAGCTACAGAAGGTCCGGGAATTCATAATAAAGCCAACAATGTCTGAGGAAATGAGTGAAAAAGGAGAAAACCAATGCATTTAGCAGAAAAAAAAAAGGAGAGGATGGAATAAAGGTAACAGAGATTTTCTGCCTCTTCCCAAACGCAGACTTACCTGAGAAACATTCGTTCAAAATGTACCATTTTTTTAAAAGTACAATGTACAGATATATATATTTAGATGGATCAGCACTAAAATGCTCATGTGCAGAGAAGAGGCAGGTGGAGATGAAACAGACCAGTAAATGTTAAACCTACACATGAGTTAGGACACCTCTGTACTTCGGAAATTACTTCTCCTACACGAATGGCTCTTGACTGTGTTAAGCATTCAGGGAAAAAGGAACCACTTTTTTGTAATAATAGCAGAGTCTCTTTGTAAGAATAATCCACGGATGTGAAATCAAAAATTGACCAAATGAACCTCCATTAGGTTAAGTGTGAAAAGTGACATTTACACAAACCTTATAATGAGAATATTCTTGGAGTCATCAGCAAGTTGTAAAGGGAGCCACAAAAATAATTAGAACCTCGTGTGAGCAGCACACCTGAGGGATACAGTCCTTTCTTCCTATTTCCTGAATTACCGAAATGGTAATATTTTATGTTTGGTACGTGTCAACAGCATTAAAGAATTAAGTAGTATTTGACAGCATGGACACTAGCTACATTAAAAAAAGAAAGAAAAAAAAAAGATATGTGGAACTCATTTTTTTTTTTTGCAACTTCTACATGAAACTAAAATTATTTCAAAATTAAAAAGTAAAAGCAAAAAATATAGAGATAGTCTTGCTATGAGAAATAACACAAGGCCTAAAATTTGTGTGAATTTCATGAGGCAATCAGAAAGGATAAAGGAAACAACCCTGAGATTCTGGTTTTCACTTCTCCTGTCACGGGATGCAGGTGCAAACAAGAGGAAAGGTCATGGTCTGCGTTGGATGTTCCACTGCCCACCAGATGTTTGGAAAAGTCATGTCAGTATCTCTAAGATTCCACTACATGCACCTCGCAGGGTGGTGTCATATGCTTGTTGACTATGGTGTGCTCCACAAATATTCATTATTATCATTTAAAATTTTATGTAGGCCCGGCTGGCGTGGCTCAGTGGTTGAGCGTTGACCTATGAACCAGGAGGTCACAGTTCGATTCCTCGTCAGGGCACATGCCTGGGTTGCGGGCTCGATCACCAGTGTGAGATGTGCAGGAGGCAGCCAATCAATGATTCTCTCTCTTCGTTGATGTTTCTCTCTCTTGAAAATCAATAAAACCATACTTAAAAATAAGTAAAGTTTTATATATATACACTTTATTATTCCTTCATTAAATGGAAGAACATCTCTGAGATGTGATTAACTACTAAGATTTCTTCACATTTGTAAAATTACCACATTAATCTTATACTTTCCAGTAGGGACCCAGATTTGACCAACAGGTTTATCTCATAATAAATATAGTTATTACACCCTGGAAAGTGCTTCATAATAAAAATGCAGTCTAAAAACTATTTTTTAAATCTCCTTAGCCTTTTCAATACAGTTCATTGAGTTTGTTAACCGGTTACTTTAAAATTAGTTTAGTTAATTCTGAAGTCCTGTCTTTATTTATTAGACCTGTCTAATAAAGTTTGATGGAGACATAAATATATAGTTTGAACAAATATACTGACATCATACATAAACTATGATTGATAAAACATATTTTCTCTCGAGACATTAAAAATAAAATAGTTCTTTTGAAGAAAAACACACACACACAATTAAGTCAGAAATTTCATGAAATCCAAAAGATGAACCTTGAGAACACAAAACAAATTTTAATGTCTGACAAAACAAATGTATCTTGTATAAAATTGGATTGATGTGTACTTATAAATTATGCATTGCAAGATGTTTCATTATAACTTTAATGCTTCAAAATCCATTATCATCCCTCTGTCTCCCATCAAGTATAATTGTAGGAAGAAAAATATCATGTTCTTTTCTGTACAACCATAAAGCTAACGGGAAAACAAGAACAAGAGCAGCTCACTCAAATCAAGCTTTTCCTCATTGAAACCTCAAGGTACCTCATTTTAACATGGCAGCTAATTTTGTTTCCTGGAAAATGTATTTATAAGGCCAGAAATGATTCAAGTGGACAGTTATAAAAAAAATCAACAGGAGTCATATAAAAATGATATTCATTAAGATAGCTTTAAAACAGTAAGAAAAGCAGACTTCTTCCCGCCCCCTTTCAAAATTTCATTGTGTTCATCATTCAGCAACATTCTACTCACTTCCGATGGGTGTGGTCCATGCCACTGTTTGGTATTGATTCCAACTCTGCATTTTTCTGCCCACAGATATTTCCATAGCTGTCGTATCCTGACACTAGTCTCGCTGCTGCACCTGTTGCTACTGAAAAGCCACAAATAAATCCCTAGGGAGAAAAACAGAAAAAAACACACATACAAATAAATCATTTCAATAGCAACAGTCACTACTTGATACGATAATGAGCTTCTTTTGTCTGTTGAAGGAACAAAGAGCTCTTTCCTTGTTGCAAACACTATTCCACTGTTTTCCTAGGATTTCACATAAGCAGCACAAAGTAGTCCCGGGAAACACTATTTACTAGCATAACAAAAGAAATTTCTAAGCTTTTACATCATAAGATCGTCTTTGCATTTTATACTAATAATAGCAGCCTCTCTGTATGGAACATCTGCTCTATGCCAGGCTCTGTACTGGGTGCTTACCATACATTACAGCTAATCCTCATGATGAGGAAACTGAGGCCCAGAGAGGTTCAATACTTTTTCCAAGGACACAGGACAGAATCAAACCCAGCTTTCCTCTTCTTTCTTTCTTTCTTTTTCTTTCTTTCTTTCTTTCTTTCTTTCTTTCTTTCTTTCTTTCTTTCTTTCTTTCTTTCTTTCTTTCTTTTTTTTTTTTTTTTTTACTTTTATTTGGCTGTAAAGGAGTCCTATTAAATAAACAATAGCAATGGATGGAAGAAAAAACACACACCAAAGAACAATAAGTCTGTGGGTTTTGAAGTATTATCACTTCCGTGCACACAACTTCTATTTGCTTCCTGCAGTAAAACTGTATATAAGCCAAAGAATTACACCATGAAGCACTGCCACGCTCTTAATATTGGAGAAGCCAGGAGAGTGAGGCCCAGGCCTGGGTGCCAAAAAAGGCCACTTCATTTCAAGGGAACACGTTTCAGCACAGTGCCAAAGGCAAAGGGCAGATGCCTCGTGACTGAATTAGGCTCGCTAAGTGGAGGAGCGCTAACGCCTGTGTTCCACTGCAGGCTGCGGGGCGTGTAGACAGTAAGGTGAATTACCATTGATACACTGAATTGGGAGGGAAGTCTAGGGTTAAGACACATTCTTGGTCATTACAAGCTTGAGTTTTTGTTATCTTTATTCAAGTGGCTAATGAAGGCAGAGATGGCCACTATTTACCCATCATAACCAAGTATCATGAGTAGTACCAAGGAGCCCTGCTAGATCTTGGGCCTGCAGTGGTAAGAATGATCTATACTCATATGAGGTTCCTCAGAGAATAGTATTCCTTTCTTAAACATGCTTCCCTGAAAAGGTGAACAAATTCTTTTCTTTTTTTTTCTCCTAAATAATCTCTATTTTTATCATTTAGTTTGGAAAGTGAGGCAGGGAGACTAGAGTGTATAGCTCTGGTAGTAGAAACTTCTTGAAACTACACTTCGTAAGAAAGTGGACTTAGTAGCGACTATCTCTGATTTGCTAAATTTGCTCTCTAATCCTTGCCAAGTTACTTTAACTCTCTGTGCCTTAATTTACTGACCGGTAAAATGGAGATAGTGGTAGCTCATAAGGCTGCTGTAAGGATTAAATGAAATAATCCAGTAAAGTGGTAAGATTTCAATAAATATTAAGAGGTTGATAAATAAGAGATGAATAAATATTAGCTATTATTGTTAGACATGAGAACATGCTATAATGCAGTTTCCCAAACTTTTGACATATGTGTACCCCTTCTATAATTTTCGTAATGCTGAGTACCCCTCGTACTCATGAGAACGCAGAATTAGGCGCAGCTAAGCACAGTTCAGTGCATATTCCCACCAAACTCTGGTGCAACGCGTACCCCCACCAAACTCTTCCCATACCCCTGGGTGTATGAGTACCATACTTTGGGAAACACTGCTATAATGGAAAGACCATGAACTTTGGATCAGATAACCCTGCACTGATCAATTTTCTCCTTGTGTGAACTTGAACAAAATTCAAGAAGTAAAATGGCTAAACTCTCCAAAGGGATCTTTAACAAAAAGCATCACAGAGTAATAAGAAGGGAACCAAAAAGACCTGATTCACACCCTCCGTCGGCCTCTAACTACTTGTGTGACTTTGACCAAATTCCTACTAAGAGTGTCTCCTCTTCATCCCTAACACAGAGTACTGAGGCTTCTTACCCGAGGTTTCAGTTACCCATAGTCAACCATGGCTTGAAAATATTAAATGGAAAATTCCAGAAATAAAACTATTCATAAGTTTTAAATTGCATGGTGTTCTGAATAGCGTGATGAAATCACACTCCATACTCCATCCCACCTGGGACGTGAATCATCCTTTTGTCCAGGGTCTCCAGGGTCACTTAGTAGCTCTCTTTGTTATCAGATCAACTGCCACAGTATTACAGTGCTTGTGCTCAAATCACTCTTATTTTGTTTAAGAATGGCTCCAAGGTATAAGAGTAGAGATGCTGGCAATCTGGATATGCCAGAGAGAAGCCCTAAAGTATTTCCTATAAGTGAAACTGTATGCATAGTATAGTTGGGTTCAGTTTTGGAACCCACTGGGGGTCCTGCTGGTAGGTATCCCCTGTGAATAAGTGGGAGACTATTTGTTGTTGTTTTGTTAATTCTCACCTGAGGATATTTTCCCTATTGGTTTTAGAGTGGAAGGAAGGAGGAGAGAGAAAGAAAGAGAGAAAAAGAGAGAGAGAGAGAGAGAGAGAGAGAGAGAGAGAGAGAGAGAGAGAGAGGTGAGAGAGGCACACTAATGGGTTGCCTCCCACACACACCCCAACCATGACTGGGGAATCAAACCTGCAACCCAGATATGTGCCCTTGACCAGGAATCAAACCCTGGACTCTTTGGTACCCAGGCTAATGTTCTAACCACTAAGCAGCACTGGCCAGGGCTGGGGAGAGGGGACTATTATAATACCTATTTCACGACATAGTGATGAACACTAAAAGTGAAAATACATATTTAGGCCTTAACTGGTCTGATACATGGCAGATAATCAATACATGGTAGCTGTTAGGGATAAATTAGTGTTAAGTCAGACTAAAGAGTTTGACTAAACAAAAACCCTTTCAGTTCTCTATTTTGGAACAAAAATTTCTTGGGGGATAAAATTGAGAACTATTGTCAGTAATTGTGTTACTACATGGAAATATTCAGACCACAGTTACAATCAATCTTCTTTCAATACTAGTCTAAAATAGCAAAGTCCTTACATAATTGAGGTTATGTTCTTTCACTTTTCATAGGAATTTTCTTCTTATGCTTGATACGTACCTAGTGTTGCAGATTCCTTTAAACGATGTGTGATTTCCCCTTCTATTTTTAATAGTACTGTTGGACCCATGGATTTTGTGGGTTTGTGTTTGTTTGTTTTTTAATCAGAGTGTAAGTGATAAATGTCACAGATATATGGTAAAATGGAACACTAACATATTTTCCTATCGCCCATGTAGCTCCCCAAAGCATTCGAGTAGAGAGGGTGAGAAGCTTCAGGGGAGGAAGGAAAGAGAGGAGTGAGATAATAAGCTAGAAAGAAACCATGACTGTTATCCCAGGGACTTCCCATATGGTACAAGCACTGATAATGGGGAACGAGGCCAAATACAATTAAAAAAAAAAATAACCTCTTTTAAAAAGAGACCCTGAAATCCACATATGGGAAACAATATAGTTTCAGATGAGAAAACCAATATAGTGCATGAAATTAAAACAGTGTGAGAAGCTTTACAGAACACAATAATGTAATGCCTCCACAGAGGGTGGGGGTGGGGTGGGAGCAAGCACTCAACATTCATAAAGCAAATGATAAGAGAGATGAGGAAAGCTTTTATCCTACGACAATCGGGAGCAATCACAGAGAGAAAGTAAGCCTATTAGTAAGGAAGAGAGAACCATGGCTAACATCTAAAAGTGACGGAGTTACTGAAGTGCTTTCAGAACTGCTCTTGAGAGAGAGAGAGAGGAGGAGCAGACACTTCTAATGACAAACAAGAAGTGCCTCAAATCAGATGAAGGCATACAGGGAGGGTGGGTCTCAGGCAAGATCTGGAGACTAATAAGTGCCTATTGCTAAGCAGGAGAAAGACAATTTACTAGATCATAAACGATGCTCATTTTCCCTTAATATCTCAAGGTTTAGCTCGACATAAGAGCTTCTGCTTAGTTGCATTCATTATTAGTCAAAATAACAGGCATATTTTATTTCACAAGCATGTTGAAGTTCACACATGGAGCCTTGACAGTGTAATGGAAAGGTAGAAAGCCTTAGTTTAGTTTTGAAACAAAAAGGTCAACAAAAACATGAGGGGTAGAGGGAGTATGATGTATGAATATGGCAAAATGTTTCAAAATATAAAGAGTGGAAAAAAGACTTGTCCTTACAGCCCTTTCCCAGAAATGAATTAAATTATATCCAGGTTCTTCCTTCTTCCCCACTCCCAGGCCCTCCAATACTATATCTCAACCAATGTTTAGCATCAGTCTCCTGACAGCCAGTTTGTCAAACCTTGAAGCAATATTTGGCCTCTTGCTCCCAAGAACACTGAGACAAGGAAGAATTTTAGACCCAGCAGACAGGGTAGGATCAGAATGCCTGATGCAGAACTATTGTTCACGCAAACAAGCTGAAAAAAAGTGAGTTAAAATTTCTGGCAATCTGCTAGATTTCTTTAAAGTTAAGTAGGATGCATTACTCTTAAGAGGAGAGTAAAAGACAATAATGATGGGAAGTTAGGAAATATCCACTTAATAAACATTTATTAAGTATACACATACAAAAGAAAGATTTCATGCAAAATACTAAAGGGCTTTAATACAAGAAAGTATACCAGAGAAAACCTGAGATGCCTCAAAAGAGAAGAAAATAATAGGGTATAAGGGAGCAAAATCAGGGAGCTCAGTTTCATGAGCAGCTTAAGCAAAACAAACAAGCAAAATAACACAAGGACTACCAGGGATTGAACCCAGCTCTGCTGCAAATACTCATGATGTTGGGCAAATCACTTTCAATTCTCTGAGCCTCAGTTTCCTCACCTGTAACAATGATTGGACTACATTAATCTCAAAGCCCTTTATGCTTCCACATTTTATGATTCTAAGGGAAAGTAGGTACAAAGTAAATGCTTTCAGGGTA